AGCCCGTTCGATCCCTATTACACGATATTGCATATTTACTGTAAATGTGTTCTCGTCCTGAACTTGCACGAAACATTAGCCACTGGACATAAAGTTAACAACAATCAATCGATTGTAGACAGGCTACGAATATTTTAGGAAGATTATATCCAAATATGCCATCATCCGTAAATTCAAAGACGTACACAACACTTAAATAAAAACCCAAAGATAAACAGCAAAGAGGTTCCCGAGGTTGAACAGGCACACAAACAAGCTGTGAGGTAGAACCATTTCTTCTTCCAACCTTCAATAAAACAGCACTTCACTTTTATCTTTCATGTCATTATTACAGATGACAAAAACAAAGGAACAAGTAAAATTATAAAAAAAATAAAACTGTATAAAGACTCAATTCTCACAGTTACTTACCGTAAGATCAAAATACTTTTTAATATACTGAAATAAATGAGGGTCTTTGTGTGTGGTCTGTGTATGTTTGGGGTCTTCATTTCTGTATACCATAATTTCTTTGGCATTGTTATCTATTCTCAATGTTTTTTTTTCTTTTATTCTCATTTCTTTATGTTTTAGCTCCCCATTATTCTTGCTATGCGGTTTGGGTTTTGATAATTTTTGAAGGCTGTACGGTGACCTACAATTGTTAACATCAACATCATTTGTTCTCTGCATGGGGGATAGTTGTCTTATTGGCAATTATACCACATCTTCTTATATCTTTATATCTGCTGTCGTACGTGTGGACAACGATTGAAATGCTTTTCATTTATAAAGGACATGAATTCAGAAGAAAAATATGTTTTGAATTCAATTACAAGAAAAAAATTGTACAATCCTTTGAACTAAACAGCCGAGAAGATGGGCGACATTTTAAAATCTGTAAATTTGGTGGATAGTTGTCTCATTTATATTCTTATTTTTAAAATAATGTTTTTCAATGAAACAGTTATTTGGAAAATAAGTTCAGTTCGGAATACTATAAGTCATTTTAATTATGTTCAGACTATGTTATCATTGCTACATGCTAATTTTCTGTAGATTCGAATGATAGAACTTACTTACTAAAGAAAATTATCACCGTCTGGGAAAATGTTGTTTTAATTATTGCCAATAACATGGCTCAGTAGCGTTTATATAGCTCTGTGATTAGTTATAATTTCTACAGTTTGGAAAACATTACTTTCACTACAGTATTGTTGAATTAAGCGCCTGAAACCTCTTTAGGAAATAACATTTTAAATAAAAAAAATCCTTTCATATCAAAAGAAACGTCAAGGCAAACAACGTCGATTTTACAGAAAAGTCATGCGATACATTTTCGAGTTATTTCAATTAGAAAATCTATGTGAATGAACATACAGTGTATTGTCATAATATTATATATGGAAGAAATGCTACCTAAATATACATCATTGATAGACCGTTAAGTAATGAATATATCATCGAATGTTAATACTTTTTCCCCGTGAGGTAGAATGTGGGTTTGGATGGGGGAAATTGGTTGGGGTTGTGTGATAACTGCCTGCATACTAAATTCGATGATATTACAAAAGTAACATGAAACCTAGATAATTTATAAGAAGGGACTGTATTTGGAAAAGCTTTCAAAGAATAATATCAAATTCAAAAGGACTGTATGTAGAAATTAAAACGCAGCCACGTCCGGTCTGAATGGTGACGTTTAATCCAGTGCAACGAATTTGGAAACGTACGTTCAAGAACCATTGCAACACATGTTAAAAGGGTCCTTAGCTGGCATGTTGCAAAGCAGAACTTTTGCCATGTTCCAACATACCATCCTTTTTCATTGGCAGCGCAAATAACCCGTCCTTCGTCTCATTAAGGTTTATTTTGTAAAACCTACCAATTGAGTATTTAATCATTATTTACCTTTCCTTTTCTCGTCCTGATTATACATGAAATATTTGCCACTGGACTTTAAGCAATCAATTAAAAACCCAAAATTAAGAGCCCTACCTTTCATCAATAATTGTGCTGAAAAAATCCCATTGTTTTGATCTATTTCCTTAAAATTTTCATTTAAAACCGGCTTTGGCCTACAACGCTTTCATGAAACATATCAGTTTCTTAAATATACCTGTTAATTTCATCGTGATACTTAAAGATAAGATGTAATTTTGTGTTAATGCTGTAACGGCTCATTTATGTGATCAAGTGTTTACCAATTGTTAAAGACAGCCGCTCTTGAACGCATTATTACATCTTAAAGAGATTTCATAGCGCTCTAGTTAATAATATTTAAGATTCCTTTAAGCACTTTGAATTAATTGAGCATGAAATCGATATTATTTAAACAGCATGTTTAATCTTGATGGCGATAATCATTTATTTACCAAATGAATCAAGCAAATTTTATGGACAGTTTTGACACTTACATTTATAATTGTCGTCGTAAATTTATAGGAAATTTATCATTACTTAAAAATGTCTTTACAAATTATTAAAAATATCCTTTAAGTAATTGATTAGAAATTGATTTAAAGACGTTTTTAGGACATGCAAGGTTAGTGATGTAACTTAAGAAGCTCGGAATATTAAATCAATAATATAATAAATGTGATGGGTTAAATGTGGTCAGGAACTCGTTTGAACCATGTAAATAAACTAGACGGATTTTTAATAACTGTTTATTTTTCTGTTGGTTAAACTTCCCCTTATTTTGATAAAAAGGACAGGAAGCTTTGATTTGAATAAAGACATGATTAATACAGTTGTTTGACCTTGAATAATTCACATACATTTTTAAAGGACTAATTCTTGTCGTCTTAAGTTTGTACTATCTGAACTTCAGGACCACCTTTGTATGGGAATCAATGTGTTATATTGATTGATTATTTGTTGGTGTTTAACGCCACTCCCAGCACTATTGTCTATTTCATTGGCTGTTCATTTTCTTGGTGGACGAAGCCGGAGTGTCCGGAGAGAATCGCCGACTCTTCAGCAGGAGAACCGACAATAACATAGTAAATAGAGAATGGCGTCGAAAGTTTTATAAAAGGAACCTCTGTAAGAATAAGGAGATGTGCCAATGAGACATCACGTGACGTGAATGTAAGCAACTAAGTTGAAGGCCGTACGGCTGCCTATAATTGCTTACATCCACTGCATTTGAACTTGGGTGGATAGTTGTCTCATTGGCAATCATACCACATCTCCTTATGTTTATATAGGTAAACGCACGGCTTCCAACAACGAACAATTCCTGTATAGTAACGTATAAGTAATCTCTTGAGACCTCGGTGTGATTAGCTGTGAACCAATATCAAAAGAGAAAACCAACAGCCAGATTTCTGCTAATAACCAATAAACGGAAAAAATAAAACAGACAGCAACTAACGACGGCCACTTAACTTAGGTGAGGCACATAAATGAATGACGGAGTTAAACAATTGTGTGAACACTCAACCCTCCCCTTTGAAATACCTGGGACAGTGGTGTCAGACTACAACATAAAAATAAACTGTAAAAATTAGTCGGAAATGGCTTGACTCATCAGACTGGCACGAAGTACTTTAAACACAACATACAAGTCACAAAGTGTCCCCTGTTTTAAGAGTACTCTCAGTTACCAAGTAAGTTACTCTCAGTTACTAAGTGAGTTACTCTCAGTTACTAAGTGAGTGACTCTCAGTTACTAAATGGCGATCCTCTCAGTTAAAGAGACATTCACCGACATGCTATCAGGGTTCCTAACTGCATTATATGGCAAGCCGTTTTACTATCTATTTTAACTTCAAGATATCTAACACTCAACCCTCTCAAAGGAGTGTTGAGTGTTAGATATCTTATAAATTATATGAGATATCTAATAAAGTATACAAGATATCTTATATAAACATATTTATAAGATATCTTATAAACTATATGAGATATCGAATATAATATATGATATATCTTATATAATATATAAGATATCTCATATAATATATAAGATATCTCATATATTATATAAGAAATCTCATAATATGATATCTTATAAAAACTAGATTATATAAGATATCTTATATATTATATGAGATATCTTATATATTATATGAGATATCTTGAAGTTAAAATAAGTAGTAAAATACGGCTGGTCTTAGCATTAACTACATAGGGCTTTCATAATCACTCGTTCTTTTGAGAGAGCTAATTCTAATTTTGATAAAATTTGATTAGTCAGGCAAGATATAAATGCAACTTTCAATTTTTATCGTTTATCATTTATTCAAATAAAAAATTAATTAATTACATTTTAATACTAATGGACTACAGTTGTGTTTAAATTTTATAGTTTTAATTCCTCATTTATTTATGTTTGAAAAAAAGTGAAAAATCAAACTTCAAAATTCTTTTAATAACTCTCATTTTAGTGATTTATCGTTGCAGGTTAAAAAGTCAAATTTTTGATAGATTGTTGCATGTTCAGAGGTGAATTTTGACTGACTATTTTCTGGAAGAAGTTTTACAGAATCGAATGATACTCTGAACTGAAAATATTTATAAATATACAGCTAGAAAATACACAATTAGAAAAACACACAGTCTTAAATTCTTGCATATTTCAACTAAAAATATATGAGATATGGTTTATAAAAAAAATATGATGTTAATATTAATATGTAAACTAAAAATTAGATATACAGCCCTTATTGGCTTGTCCGTTTCGAATTTCCGGATGTGAAAATCGGTTCAGCCATCTTCTTCCTTGAGAATTCCGTGCGCAAGTATCGCACAAAATTTAACTATTTATAACCGAACCGATGCATATATGGTAGAAACATAACGTAACAGAAGAACGTATGATATTGCAAAGTTTTTACCGTCTTGTATTTATCAGCACTTGGAGTTCTAAACTCTTTGCTATATGAGCCTGTATGAATGAATGAAGGGAACCAAATCATAAGTGTGTGGATTATGATGGAAAGGTGCTAATAACTTGCTTTACTACTGTGAATATTTTGTGGGAATAAATTTGTCAAAAACTGCGATAAAAAAAATGTCAAGGCAAAAAGTTGGATAGGATAAAAATATGCTTGAACATTTTCTTATCTCAGCATTTATTTCAAGAAAAAGAATATGTCTCCTTCTTCATGCATTTTAAGGGGAAAATGCAAGCTGTCGCTGAAAAAAACCGTTTTGCGCGTGTGAAGAAGTATTACTTGAAATCAACCTCTCCCAAATTGTTGAAGCCTTAAGAATGTTCACTGATCTTGTTTTTGACTTTTTGTCAGATATTCGGAATCCTCCAGCTTTATCGGTGTAGTGCCATAACCAACCTTTCTTTTCTTTTCATAATTTTATTACATATAGTTTAAAAAGCCATTTTGGAAATCTTATAATATCCTTGTTTTTTTTTCATAGTTTTTGATAGAAAAAAGTGTCAGTGTATAACCCTTTCAATTTATCTGCTTTTTCAGTTCCGTTATTTATCTACTGTCAATTTGTAATAATATACTGAAAAAGCATTCTAGTTAGTTGGAACTAGAGAAACGAACATCCTCAACCAAGAAAACGGTTGAACAAAATAGATACGATATTTGTACATTTCGCATTTCAATATATTACAGTGCTAAAAGTTATCAACTGACATTAATCTATTTATTTAGTTTTGATAAATATATCTCTCTTGATAAAATTTCTACAGTAGAAATAAACAAATTCAAAAGTGACAAATAGTATAGAATAAAATATACGACATATATATCCTTATCAAGTTTGCGATGTTTATAATTTTATTTTTACTGATATCTACAGTTGCATAGCCAATGACAAATTATTACAACACCATTCAATTTTATTTTAGCCAATGATATTAAATGATTTTTTTCTAGCTTATCTTGATGTCTCCTTCTGCCCGCCTTTTACAACTTGTTAAGTACTAATACAAACAGTTCGATACCAAACTAATCAGTGATTCTCTATAGTGAGGAACCAATCATACAGCCTCGGAAATAATTACATCGTCTTTGCTGAAAAATATTATAAGTAATCAACGTATCTTGAGTTCACAAGAAAGATTTTTAGACATTTACTGATGAATGAATATCTGTATATACAGAAAACTCTATTGAAATGTGTAAGAAAGCGACAATACTTTGGTCAAGTGCCACACACTATGTTTTTAGCATTTAACGATTTATAAATAGGGAAAAAAGTGTTTCATATATACTGGGACTACGCAAGTGTATATAAAAGTTTACAAACATATTCTTGTTTAAGAAAAAAAAAAAACCACACGGATTTAAGTAAAAAGGAAACAATAATGTCCGACTTATCAACCGTAAGTAATAACTTTACTGACGCTTGTTTATGTATTTACAATGATTCAGCAACTTTTTACAACAATTCTTGTTGTTATTTCATGGACATGCCAGAATCAGAAGAAGATAAACTGAGAAAAATCATCATTCCGATTGTTTTCGTGTTATTCATGATAGTTGGTGTAACCGGTAACGGAACTTTGGTGTACATCGTCCTTCGGAACAAATTACTACGCAATGTTCCGAACACTTTGATTGTTAATTTATCAATTGGAGATCTTTTGTTGTTAATATTTTCAGTTCCATACATGGCCATTGTGTTTGGAACAAAAGAATACCCGTTCAATGCGTTTTTCTGTAAATTTAATGCTTACCTACAAACATTGAGCCTAGGAGTTTCCATTTTTACACTAACTGCACTCAGCTATGATCGTTACGTAGCAATAGTACATCCGATGAGCAAACACAAAGGAAAACCGAGTCTCAAAATCGCCATTGTTGTGATTGTCATTTGGGTTGCTTCTGCACTTATTGCTATATCCGATGCCGTAAGTTACACATTGGTCATTCAACCGGGTCGTCCCATATTCTGTCACGAGGTTCCATATAATGATTATGGTATTTCTTTCCTCAGAGTAAGAAATGTAATTCGTCTTTTAATATTATTCATTATTCCATTATTTATAATCGGTTGCTTTTACATTTTAATGGCAAGAATTTTAGTGAAAAGCAGCCGACAGTTGCCATGTGAAGCTACGTTAGGACAAGGGATGAACACTCAACAACAACGCCAAATCGAGGCTCGATTTAAGGTAGCTAAAGTTGTGTTATCCTTTGTAGTTTTGTTTGTAATCTGTTGGTTACCACGCCACATTTATGTTTTGTGGTACGCGTACGACGAAGAAGGATTTACTGAGTTTTGGCTAATCTTCAAAGTTGTCAGTATTTGTTTTATGTATGCGTACTCATGTGTGAACCCGTATGCTTTATACTTCCTCAGCAGTCAGTTCCGAAAGTACTATAATCGTTATTTATTCCGTTGCTGTATTCGATCCCGATATAGAACACGTGACTCTACTTCTGCCCTGACAAACTTTAACAGCACCGTCCGCCGCGGAAGCACATCAATGACTATGGTAAAATCTAATTCGGAATTCTGACTAGAAATGTGTTTGCTGTACCACGATTACGGCAAATCACCACGTGAATCTAACAAACGCCTAAAAACTAGGAAGGCTTGAGATGATTTATGAACCATACGGTAGAATTTGTTTCATTTAAGCGAGACAACTCTCATTTATCAAAGGGAGTTAACTCTACGCCCAAACACAGGATAGTAGGGATTAGCGATACAGATAAGTGAAAGAAAAAATATTCACCAAATCAATGTGACAATCAAAGTAAAACTCAAAAGTAACACTCTGTGAATATATACATTTTTGTATTATAGAAAGATTAAGTTATATTTAATCCAAGACTTGATAGTGTAATATTTAGTAATTGACAGCAAAACTCTTCAGAAGTGAAAGTACTGCAAATACAACATGAATTGAGAATTGAGAGAAAATTATTTCATCGCATATTAACTTGAGAAAGAAATGATTTAGTTAGGTGGAATGATAAAACATGCAAATAACTAGTTTAACATGAAACAGACAGCTAATTGAAAAATTCTTAACGCAATACAGGCTTGTTATACACGAAGCGAAACCTAGTAAATTATCCGATTGACTATTACACGTTGGTTGCAACGTATATTTATATCGTATCCGGACACTTGAAACGCGTATTCATGTCAGTGGAATTCATCACAGGTAATTGATGGATGGGTTGCAGTAGCACAGAACTATAGAAAATAACTGTATAACATTCCTTCGATCATCTGTCGTTCAAATCAATGGTATAATTAGACCGAGTGTAAAACATTCTTGACATCTACTCAAGCTAATTATAAAGTTATGGATATGTTCCAGTAAGTAGTAATATGTTAGTACCGGTGTATTATATGTATATTTATGTAACTGAGTACTGGGAAATAAATGTTTTAACAGTTGTAGGTACACTTGTTCTTATGTAATTAAATCTGAAAACAATTATTCTTAATGCATATTTGATTATTTGTCATTTTAGAATTTTAAGTGTTATATAGACTTAATTTTTTTGTTGTTGCTTGCACACCAAAATAACGCAAAACGAAAAAAATGAAAAATATTATTTTTTCAATTTTTTTTTAAGACAGTTCTCATGAAACGACAGTATTTTTTAATCTGCACACTTTCTGTTGTCTGTATTTCCCACAGTAACAAATGAACATAGCACTTTATAAACTTCGTGCGTCAAAGCTCTTATCTGGATTTAACCTCTTCGGGAACGCTCAAACCCAAGCATTTGAAAACTAAGAATGTATAAATACGTAGAAACGATAGGAGGTAAATGGCAAAAGGGACATAAAAGAATAACCAAGACAGGACGGAGAATTAGTTTTATTCTTTTTAATATCTTTTATTGAAGCCATTTTTAGCTCCAGTATAAAAATAATATAAGATCAGTGCATGTTACAAAAATATCAACATGAAACTGTTGATGGGCTCTGGAAACATAGACCTTTTCCGATTCTAAGCCTCATACAAAAATGTTGAGATTTTTCTGACATTGACTTTATATCGTTTATTTATTCTGATAAGTTTTGACAATAATACCCTACCATCACTAGGTTCTATTAAAGGACTTACAATTCACATTATGTTCATAGCTTGCATGAATAAGATAATGTAGTTTTTGCCCAAATTTTGTTTGAAGGAATTGTTTCATTAATTAACCGAGTTCCACAAACAGATATTTACCATCCGTAATAGTACGATTTAATTCGGTACTGGCATGAAATACGGATATTGTTTGAAAGATCAGATTCCTTGTCCAGATTTGGCTCTCAACGGTTTTTATAAGGTTTTGTTTTTCAATCATTTTGGCATTGAGCATCACTGAAGAGACATTAATTGTCGAAATGCGCACCTGGTGCAGTAAAATTGGTACCGTTAACGTGATTACAAATGTTTAAAATAAAATTAAAAGAGATCACGATGATTTATTTATTAGCAGAAAAAAAACAAACATATAATTATATTGTTTGAAGGAATTGTTTCATAAAAAAAACCCGAGTTCCACAAACAGATATTTACCATCCGTAATAGTACGATTTAGTTTGGTACTGGCATGAAATACGGATATTGATTGAAAGATCTGATTCCTTATTCAGATTTGGTTCTTCTACGTTTTTATAAGGTTTGGTTTTTCAAATATTTTAGCATCGAGGATCACTGAAGAGACATTAATTGTCGAAAAGCGCACCTGGTACAGTATTTTTTTTTTACCGTTACTGATATTACAAATGATTAAAATAAAATTTAAATAGATCACGATGATTTATGATTTATTTATTAGAAGAAAATTAAAAAATATATATATATAAATGTAATTTTATTATGTGGAGAACATTAGACCGCACGTGCCATGTTTTTTACTTAATGATACGTTAAGACAGGATTTATATTGATTTAACAGTTATATGACACACCTAAAATATTTACATACAGAACATAAAAAGCAAAAACTGTAATAAACATAGATTTGAACATGTGTTTTGTTTAGAAAGCAAATATACGAAACACTCATACCGGCACACTGTCAAGACAAGATATAGCAATAAATGCCCACGCCAAAGATATAGAAAGTAACTTTCAGATGCGATTACTAATTCCAACCGTATATTATATATAATTCATTTAGGTCAACGTTTTTTATCAGAGTTACAGAAAAAAAATATCTTTCATGTTTAATAAGGACGAAGTAAATAACAGAACTATTTCAATTACATGATAAAAAAAAGTGTTAAACTAGCAATTTAAATCTCCAAATGGATAATTGCATCTATTATAATTAATCTTAAACGGATATAACATTCGTAGACATGTTTTAGTTATCTTATCAACCATTTAAGCAATGTTGTAACTTAGTTATCCAAGTCTCGGCAGAGTTGAAAGTCTAATGTTAGAAAGTTTTGAGATAGTGATAACCTTTAAATATGAACAAATGAATCGGATAAACAAATGATTTGGAAGTGTGTATAGGTTAAATAACGTTTTGGTTTCAGAAAGAAAAACAAGGTGTACTTATTATATTCAGTCTTCTCATATCTGAGCGGCGTCAGTCACAAATATATGAGACGACTTTAATTAATTCAATGTGTTTATTTTATTGTAATAAATATCTCAGGGACTGTCTGGATTTCTAAATATTATTATAATTTTCCGACAAAAACCAGCAAATTTTATGTAAAATTATAAAAAAAATATGTCAACTAGTTAAACAAAAAAAAAGGAGATGTAGTATGATTGCCTATACGATGACTATCCAACATAGTTCAAATAAGTGAATGTAACCAATTATGGTCACCGTACGGCCTTCGACAATGAGAAAAACCGATATCGTATAGTCCGCTATTAAAGGCCGCGACATGAAAAAAACGAGAAAGCTAACGGACTAATTTATAATAAAACAATTTACGAAAAACAAATATGACAGACATGAACCAACGACAACAACGGAACAAAAGGCTCCTGACTTGGGTCAGAAAAATAAAGAATGTGGCGGGGTTATACATATCTGAGAGCGCTCAAACCTTCCATAATCTGGGACAGTGGTGTAACAGCACAGCATAAGAACAAACTGTAAAAATATGGTGAATGTGCAAATGTATGTAGATTGAAAAGGTAAAAATCAAGAAGGTATAGTATAAATAAATCTAAAATGCAAATGGTAAAACCCGTAAAAACACGAAAAACATGTAGGACAGGTATATATAATAATTTATTTAACACATTCTTTTTTTATTCTAAATGACAGCAAAAAGTGTTTTCAACCTAAAGTGAGAGGTTTAGCTAGCTTTAAAACCAGGTTCAATCCACCATTTTCTACATAAGAAAATGCCTCTTCCAAGTCAGGAATATGACAGTTGATGTGTTTGAACTTTTGATTTTGCCATTTGATTAGGTTCCTTTTTGAATTTTCCTCGGAGTTCAGTATTTTTGTGATTTTACTTTTTTCCATTATCAACCCAAAAATAGATAAAAAGCAAGTACACAATGTCACAATAAACAACTGTGAAAAAATACGATCTCACATACTGCATTTTATAATTATTCATATGATTTGAAAAAAGAGATGAAATTCTATTTTTCTTTTTTTCCAAAATTAAGCAGATAAACAAACACATAAAACATATACCAAAATACAAATATCAGAATATTTGAATAAATGAATATATTAGTAAATAATTAATTTAAAAGGAAACTAAGCTAGACTTTGATAAATGCCATCAAATTATTCAGATTATCTTTTCACACCCAAATGAAAGAACGTCTACGAGATACAATTGACATTTCAATTTAAGGCAACACCATCATTATAATTATCTTATATTGTAGGTTCCATTAAAAGGTTAAAAAAACATGTAGTAATAGCCGAGAAAACCGATATAAACAACTTTTAGTGTGTATGTTCCAAGGAAAAAGTAACAATCTATGCAATCAATCATTGTCTATACTTCCGACTCTAATAATAAAGAATTAACCCAATTTGGAAGTCGGCAGTGTTATTTTATCGCTAAAGTGTTTTTGATTTGGTTTTCCTTTTTACAATATTGCGTCAATGACGCTCTAAATTTAGCTTGATCTTTACGTTTTAAACCACCTTTTCAAGCTGTCTATAAGTAGCTCACTTTTATTTTCATTTAACATTCACACCTTCATCCGTTACCGAGGAATTCGAAATTCGAAGACATTTAGCAATTTATTAATCTGTACGTTTCTCTGTTGGTCTTATTCTAAAATTCTTAATAATGGATACCTATATTACTGACTAATCCGTAAAAAGGAAGTCTTGCAAGAGAATTAAAAAAAAAACACGTTTTAACACTTATTCCATATATGATAAATAGTTTATAACACGTCCTTTTCTATGTAGCCTCTGGTAACATCCTTGACCCTTATGAATCCTTGTCATGATATAATATGAAACCAGGACAATTATGGAAAAGGCCTGATTGATATAATCTATCAGTAAAAATCAACTCCGTATCTTTTCCTGTCCATTACAGTAAGATTACAAATATTAACGACAGAAATGATCTCTTCTTAGGTTCGACGGTCTCCATCATGATTTAGATGATCGTAAAACATTCAGCACACCTCGGCAGATATAAAAGCTATGTGTAGGTTAGCGAAATCTGCATCGTTTTGCCGATTGGACCGTTAAAGTCTCCGTTTCTATAATAATTCATAACATTATTTCTATGTAGAGCAGGATCTACTTGCCCTCCCGGAGCACCGTTAAAGTCTCCATTTTGAAATATCCGGTGTCAAAGACGACTAAAATATATTCCACTTGTCGTAGTCAAAATATCGTCCTTCTTTCCCCATGAATAGGATTTTTTTTATTAGTCTCTGCTCTTCAACTTCGTAATCGCTTTGGTAGTGTAATTGAATGTATAAAAAAAAAAACAAAAAAAAATTGCTTTGCTAAGCATTATTGTTTTGCACGTCTTAACGTTCAGATTATGTGGAATATTTAACATTCAGATAAAAGTTCAAGTAATCCATACATGTTACACAGAAAGTTCATATGATGTCGAAAATGTATTAAGACGTCAGGAAAATAGGTGTTAATTTTATTGACGAAGAAGCTTTTATAAATGAAAAGGTTTTTACAACCAGCATCGATTACCTTTTATATATTATCCAATTCTTTGTTTATGTTGAAAGCTTGTGATTTTCTTAGATTATACGGTACTGACATGCATGCTTTTAAAATTTATTTGTTGTCATAGAGAATTTTTTACGCACCAGTTATACATGTACAGCATAAAGTCATTGCAGACACCAGGCTTATAACTCAATACGTCAGACATTGATTTTTGTTTGTATAAAACATATTCTGTGACTCTCGAATCAAAACAGTTTGAAGGCCAAATTGATAACGAAGTTGAAAAGCAGTGAAAACGAAAAAGATCCTTCATGTTGATTGCGAATTTATGAGCATT